GAAATCATACAATATATGAGCTTTCATGTCTAGTTTCTCTTACACAGCCCAGTGTTTTCAAGGTTCATTGATGTGGTATCATATTCAATAGTGATACATTTCAATAGTATTGTGGCCACTGAAGAATCCTTGCAATTTCATACAAATCTGAGGATCAGCATTTCCATTTCTGCAAAAGCCATTTAAAGAAAAATAAAGATTGTATTGCATCTGTAGGTCACTTAGGAGAGTAGTAACACCTTAGTAATCAACATTTTGCAGTTTTAACTATGTAAACCTTTTCCTTTTTGATTGAATTTATATCCAGATATTTTATTCCAATGCATGTTTTTTTTTTTAATTGAATGGTAACTATGCACATTAATGCACTTCTGGGGTACAGTGTGGGGTTTTCACATGCAATCCGAAAAACTTCCATCAAACTGGTCAACAGAGCCTTCATGTCATTTTCTCAGCGTGTTATTTTAAATAGAATTGTTTTCCAATTTTCTTTCTATATTGATCATTGCCAGATTATAGGAACATAACTGTTTTTGTATGTTTGTTAATATTGTACCAATACTGTAAGTTGATGATCAGCAACTTTACTGAATTCCTTTTTTAGGGCTAGCAGTTTTTCTTGTGATTCTTTGGCGTTTTCTATATATAAAATCGTATCAGTTACAAACTTGCAGCTACTTTTGTATATAATTCTGTTTTCCTTTGACCATTGTGTTTCTGACATGTTTAATCAATTCACGTTATACTCTCAGGCATTTCTCTTCAACAGTTGGAAGATACGGTTTATAGATTTTGATAATCTGTATAGCTCAGATTTATCCAGCGTCCTTAGATCCTGTTGTACTGTGTCCCTACTCCTACTAGACATTCCTTGCATTGAATCCTTTCCAACTCACTCTCAGTTTCAATTGCTGTTCCTAGATTGGCATGCCTCTTTTCCAGTGCCTACATGTAGGTCATTTGGGAGTTCTCTTCTCTGAGACATCAGAGCCCAGTTTCCTTTCCTCTGCTTCCTCCCAAACGTATGTTGATGGTTTGGGGATCTTGCAGCTACTGATCACTTATTGCATAATTGAAGGCTCACAGGGAAACTCTATCTCCAAGTATTATTGTAGATGTTGTTCATGGTTTCTTGCTTTTGCTATCCTAGCTGTACATTTTAAAAGTGCACCACCAAAAATGGCAGACCACAGACATCTCCTTTGCAGCCACTTGTAGTGAGATCAGGGAAAAAAGTCTCCAGCCACCTCTATCTGGGAGGTCCTGCCTAGAAACATTACTTTGGAGGCACAGGGAGGCATCAGAAGACTCCAGGAGCCAACAAAGAGGTCAGGAGAAGTGCAGAACTGGCACAGAAAGCGAGTGCTTGTGTGCCAGCAGAGGCCATCCAGTTTGGAGGCAGTTTTCAGACAGGGCACACTTGTTGGAGTTACCTTGGGACAGCTTGGTTGAGTGAATGCTCTTGAATAGTGCCCAGGGGCTGGGATTGAGCTACAAGGCAGAGCTGTCATTGTTCAGCTGCTGGCTGGGCACAGCCACTGTGGAAGAGCTGCCTGGGAATAATAGCCTACAGGGTCCTAGTACAAGGCCAGTTCTGGTGTACCTTCTAAGCTGTGGAGCCACCCATGGGGAGACTTGAAGAAAACCTGCTTTCCTGGGAAAGTCACTGCATGCCCAAAGGACACTGTTTGGAAAGGTCGAGGTATGTCTATCAAGTAGGCTGATGAGAGCTTCAGTCTTCCAACGTTGTGAGGATTGAGGGTAAAGAAAAGAGGAAGACAGAACCAAGTCTCCTCAGTAAGATTGTGGCTTCCAGCCTCCATTTTATAGAGTTATGTCAGCATCTGTAGGTGTATTAGCATCTTATACCCCAGAATATCACCAGTTGTCCAGGCATAGCATCTCATACCCAAGAACATCACCTGTTGTCCAGGCAATATATGCCAATACATATACTTTTTTTTTCAATTTTTTCCCTATGTTTTCCCTTTTTTTGTATTTATAATTTTTCATTGTTTCTTCAAGAATAAGGGCTCCATTTTTTGCTACAGTTTTTCTGCTTTTATTTTTGTTTGTTCCAGTATTTTCTCTTAAATTGATAGCTTAAGTTTTCTGGGGGTTTTTTGTTGTATTTTTATTTTTCCAGTTTACTTTCTTCAATAATAAGGGCTCCATTTTTGCTAGTTTTTCAATCCTTTTTATTCTACCCCTTTTATTCATTTCACTCCTTTTCTCTCTCTTTTTGTAAATATTTTTCCACTTTTATTTCCCACATAAATTTCTCAAATAACAACTAAGATATATATTGTATATAATTTTATTTTCAATTTTCCTTATATTCTTTTATTATTATTATTTTATCTTCTTTTCTGATCTGTTTTATTGTTTGTTGAGCTGTATTCCATTTATGGGGTAGGGCTTCACTCTGAGGCCCAGGATGGGGTGCCACAGCATTGGCCTGTCTCAAGAAGACCTTTATCCCCTGATCTGGGGGTCATTCTAGCTTTGACCTTTGGAAGGACACTATTGGTAGGTCCTCACTGTGACATACTGCTGGCATGTTTTGCTTTTCTATTTGGTGGAGGTGGGGTCTTGTTTTTACTCAGGCTGGTAAAGAGCTCCTGACCTCAAGGGACCCATCCTTGAGACGCAAGACCAGGAATTGAGGGCATGGGTCAAAGCACCTCGCTGAGCACCACTATCACTCCCGTCTCTCTTTCTGTTCTTCTCTTCTTTTTATCAATCTTTCCTTTTACCCCACATTTCTTTTTCTTTTCTCTTTTTCTATCTTTTCTCACTTCTTGCTCTTCACACTTCTCTTGCTTTTGGTCCTATACCAGAAGGACACTTCAACAAGTAAGCATAGAGACAAGGTAATTTTAAGGGAAGGAAGAAATGAAAGTAAAAACAAGGGGAAGGAAGTGGACAAGAAGAATACACTCATGAGGAGGAACCAACAGAAAAATCCTGACAGCATGAAAAGCCAGAACAGAGCAACACCACCCCCAAGGGATCATGAGGTAGCTATCACAGAGGATTCCACCTTCAAAGAAATAATGTAGCTAAGCATGGTGGCTCATGCCTGTAATTCTAGCACTCTGGGAGGTCAAGCCATGTGAATTTCTTGACTTCAGGAGTTCTAGAGCAGCCTAAGCAAGAATGAGACATTCTCTTTAAAAAATAGCTAGGCATTATGGTGGGCACCTATAGTTCCAGTTATGTGGGAGGCTAAGACAAGAGGATTGCTTGAGCCCAAGAGTTTGAAGTTGTTCTGAGCTATGATGCCATGGTATTCTACCAAAGGCAACAAAGTGAGACTCTGCTTTGAAAAAAACAAAAAAGAAAGAAAGAATAGAAAATGACAGAAAAGGAATGTAAAATATGGATGATAAAAACAATGAAGGAAATTGCTGAGAAAGTGGAAAATAACTAAAAGGAAATCAAAAAACAGAACCAAATAAGGGATGAAAGGTATGAAAAATATATAAAGGATATAATGGAGCTTAAGGAATTGAAGGAGTCAATTAGGGAACTTAAAGATGCAGTAGAAAGCATCAATAATAGATTAGACCATGGAAAAGAAAGAATCTCAGTGCTAGAGGATAAACCTCTTGAGCTAACATAGGCATTAAAGAGGCAGAAGAGAGAGGAAGCAGAATGTTCACTTAAAGAACTGTGGGACTTCATGAAACTTTCAAACATACGAATTATAGGTATCCCAGAAGGTGAAGAAGAATGCTCCAGAAGAATAGAAGCCATACTAGGGGATATGTAAGCATAGAGACAAGGTAATTTTAAGAGAAGGAGGAATAAATAAATGAAAATTATAAATTATAAATGAAAAATTTCCAAGTATTACCAAAGATTCCCACACACATCTTTCAGAGGAATATCAAACCCCAGGTCATCTCAACTCAGAGCTTCTCCAAGACACATTGTCATGAACCCATGCAAAGTCAAGATGAAAAATAAAATTCTACAAGCAATCAGGATTAAGTTACAATTGACCTACCTACAGGGGCAGATCCATCAGAGGACAGTGGATTTCCCAACTGAAACTTTCCAAGTCAGAAAAGAATGGCTTTAACCTACCTAAACAAAACAATTTTCAACCCAGAATTCTATATCCTTCTAAGCTAAGCTTCAAAATTGATGAAGAAATCAAATCCTTTACTGATATGCCAACATTGAGGAAATTCACCATAAGTTCAGCTCTATAGAAAATACTTAAACCTATTCTCCACACTGACCATCACAATGAACCATCAGCAAACTGAATACCCAACAACAAAAGCACAAAACCTAACTTTCACAATGATGCAAAGAATAAAATTAAGCAAAGAACTTTCACAAAATAAAATGAATAGATTTCTACTATACCTATCAATTGTCTCAATAAATTTTAATGGCTTGAATTCCCCACTGAAGAGGCATGGGGTGCCTGATTAGATAAAAAAAAAAGCACAAGCCATCCATATGTGTCTCCAAGAAGCACAACTAGCCTCAAAGGATGGAACAAGACTCAGGGTGAAGGGATGGAAAACAATATTTCAGACAAATGGAAATCAAAAGAAAGAAGAGGTTGCAATCTTATTTTCAGACACAATTAAAACAGACAATAAATTGAATAGTCAACATAATCTTGAAAAGTAAAGAACAATGCTAGAAGCATCATATTTTCTGATTATAATGTATATTTTAAAAACTATAGTAATTTTAAAAGTATTATACTGACATAAAGACAAACACATAGATCAACAGAACCAGAGAGCCCAGAAATAAATCTATACATATATAGTCAACTACAATGGGAAAGGATAGCCTCTTTAACAGTGGTGTTGGGAAAACTGAATATCCATAAGCAAAACAGTGAAATTACTTCTTACTTACACAAAAATCACTTACACATACACAAAAATCAACTGAAAATTAAAGACTTCAATATAAACCCTGAAACTGAGTTGTGTGTACCTTAGCTGGGAAGGACAGATTGAGGTTGGCAATCCATCAAGGATAGTAACTACCATGGCTTCCAGTGCTTTGGCCAAACCTCAGATGCGTGGCCTCTTGGCCAGGCGCCTGTGGATTCATATTGTTGGAGCATTTGTTGTATCCTTGGGGGTCGCAGTTTTCTATAAGTTTGCTATGGCTGAACCAAGAAAGAAGGCATATGCAGATTTCTACAGAAATTATGATTTTATGAAAGATTTTGAGGAGATGAGGAAGGCTGGTGTCTTTCAGAGCATAAAATAATTTTGAAATACAAAGAATTTCTTTGGGTTGATTTACATAGACATTTGTCACTGACCTGTGTCCCTGAACTATGAATGAGTGATAAATAAACTATTAATAATTTTTTTTAAAAACCCTGAAACTATAAAACTCCTAGAAGAAAACACAGAAAAAAGTTTCATGACATTGGTGTTGGCAATGATTTCGTGAATATGACTCCAAAGCAAAGGCATTAAAAACAAAAGCAGACTACAGTAGAAGATCTGCTAAGTTGACCACTCAAAAGACTACAACAAACTGGTCAATATACAGAGGTGGTCAACATAAAGAACTTCCATTGAGTACATGTGGTGCATGTCTGATCTGTGAAAATTAGATCAACTTAAGGAGATGGGCAATGTAGGGAGGTAGTCAACTATGGAGGTTCTATTGGATATCAAACTAAAAACTTCTGTATGGAAAAGAAAATGATATTTGCATGAAAAGGAAACCTATGGATAGAAGAAACTATATTCAAGCCATATATGTAATAGGGGGTTAATTTCCAAAATATATAAGAAACTGCTACAACTCAAAAGCAAAATTTAAAACTCTTTTAAAAAATAAACTAATGATGAATTTGAATGAATATTTCTCCAAACACATGCAAATGGTTACCATGTATATGACAAGATGATAAGGCAATCCACCTCTAAGTGTTTATTCAAGAGAGTCAGAACCAAGATCTTGAAGATATATTGGTACTTCCATGTTTATTGCAATCCTATTCCAAATGGATAGAATGTAATCATCAATGAATTAATGAATTAAAAATGTACTTACACATACAGAAGAATATTATTCAGCCTTACAAAAGGAGAAATTCTTACAATATGCAACAACAGGTATGGACATAGAGGATATTTTGCTAAGCAAAATAAGTTGGTCTATGGCCTGAGGACTTTAAGGACTAGAAACAGTCACTGTGCTAAGTTTTCAAAGACCCATTGAAAGAATTTTCTCATTGATGTCCCTCCATTAGGACTGGGAGGCCAGTCATATAGGAGGCAGACTCTGCAGGCAGAATCTGTACATCTGAGGAATTTCCTGGGAGGGGTTTGAAAGCAAAAAATCAGAATCTGTTGCTTGGCCTTAAGGTCACCAGGAACCTTTACTCCCCAAACTTGGCATCCTGTTTTCTAGTATCATTAATTTTTACTTTATAGTTAGAAAATCTTATGAATGCATTTGTTAGACTTACTGATGCCAGATGGCATTCTTGAGAGGTTAGTAGATTACAGATTAACTATTTGTATGTGCTGTGTGGCAGTAAAAGATCCCCTATAAAAAGCATGAAAGAAATAAAGGTTTTTTGCTACTTGCCTGAGTGAGTGGTAGCCACCCTACTCTTCAGAGACATTCTGACTGCTAGTTTATCTCTGCGACTCCGGCCCGAACAATTTACAGCAATGTTGGTCACATAAAAAATACTGCATGATTTCATTATATGAGATATCTAAAATAGTCAAACTCATAAAGGCAAAAAATAGAATTACAATTGTTAAGGGCTTAAAGGAGGAGAAAATGGGGAGTTGCTAATCAATGGGCTTAATATTTTAATTATGCAAAGTTCTAGTAAAACATCGTGCCTATAAATTACAACACTGCTTTGTATGATCACACTTAAAACTCTGTTAAGATGGTAGATCTCATGTTAAGTGTTCATGCCAGAAGGAAATTTAAAAATATGTATATACATAATGGCATCCAAATATTATTATGAAAAATACTAATCTGTATTATACTGAAGATATGATGATGGCAGTAATAATAGCAACCATACTTGCATAATAGTTACTATGTCCTAAATGATCTACTAAATGATACATAATTGCATGTATTTAGTTCTTAACAATGTTACAAGTAAAAGAGTATTACTATTTTCACTTTACATTAAGGAATTTTAGCAATTTGTCAAGCTAAAGTGTTAGAAACAGGGCTCAGCGCCTATAGCTCAACCGGCTAAGGCGCCAGCCACGTACACCTAAGGTGACGGGTTCGAATCCCCAGCCCGACCCGCCAAACAACAATGATGGCTGCAACCAAAAAATAGCCGGGCGTTGTGGCGGGCGCCTGTGGTCCCAGCTACTTGGGAGGTGGAGGCAGGAGACTCGCTTGAGCCCAGGAGTTGGAGGTTGCTGTGAGCTGTAATGCCACGGCACTCTACCCAGGGGGACAGCTTGAGGCTCTGTCTCAAAAAAAAAAAAAAAAAAAGTGTTAGAAACAGAATATGGACCCAAGTCATCTTATGCTAGAGCCTTAGCTCTTAGCCACTGATGTATACTATTTCTCTCTTTTTACTGCTGTTTGACACAAAATACTAAACTTGTTTGAGAAGAAGTTAATAAAAGGATAAAGCACCAGAGGCAATCAACTGTTCTCCTTCCCTTGTTCCAACTTATGTTTATGAATCCTCTGCAATAAAGTTCTCTGACATGTTTCAACTCCTTTTAATGGTCCTCTTCCAGCTAAATTTAGACTATCAAGTCTATACTCTCACTGATTTAGCTCCTCTTTCATACTTTATAATCTCATACCTAGCAGAATTTATGTTTTTATATCTGACTCAAAGTATGTTTCCAATTCCATGTGAAAGTGGATATGTGCTGCCATTGGCCATTCACAGTTGTAGTTATGAACTGGTGTCCTGCACCTGAATGCTTACATCTGCTCCTGTCTGGTTTCTAACTCGTCCTACTTTTCTGTTCATCATTTCATTTGCACCATTGCCTCATGCCTTGGCCTTCAGGTTCAGCTTTATTTCCTCAGCAACACCCTTGCTTTCTCTGGATCTTTTCTTCCCCTGCTTCTAGTTCTCTGCCTCACCTACACTATCTCTGACTTCCTTGAGCAAATATCTCTTTTGGTTTAGTTTGATTCCTAGACTCACAACAAGATATTCATCAGAATCTTGCTTCAAAAAGTAAGCCAATTCCCAATGTGGCTCCATTATCTAGCGCATCATGCTTCAGCCATATAACCATTTTCAATCTTAAAAACTCTGTGAACTTTGTCTGTGGTTTCTAATGAAGCATAATGTTGATTTTAGATATAATTGGTTTTATAGTTTTTGTGTCCACAATGAATTAGATATAGTGGGTCTATAGAAGCTGAAAGGGAAAAAAAAAATGTTCCAAGAAGTGATATCAATGAAAAGAAAGTCAGCAATAGTGAGAAGTCAAAAGATACAAATGTCTCAGTCTGGAATTAAATAGTGAAGGAGAAAATGATCATTTTCATGTCAATATCTACTTTGTTATATTTCTGTGTGCAGAAAAGATCATTTACAACAATGACTCTAAGTGTTTAAGAAATTGCAAATTATGTTCAGTGTATTCTGATTGAGAAAGAATGAAAACATATATCATTTTTAGATAGATGTTCACCAAATGTATTAAAAACACCAAAGCAAAACGAAAATACTTTTTTAAATACATTGTAACAGTATTTGAAAACATAACCATAAGAAAAAACTTCAGACTCTGAAAATGAGAAAGAGAATGAGAAAAAGAAAAGCATCCCTTGGCATCTGGGAGCTAACCTCATACTCACTATGCCATACTCTGCTGTGGAACAAAAAAATTCACAGAATATCAACCTCAGACAAGACCACTCTGTAATCATGAGGGAGCAAGATAAAAACAAGATCATTTCATAATCGTTAACACACAACAAAAGCATGAACATTGTTCAAACCACCACCAAAGTGACTATTGTCTCTGTATACTGCATAAAATAAGTGGCCACTGTTTCCTTGCCAAATAAAGTTTCAATCTCTCTCTAGTTTTTCCTTCTTCTAGAAAAGATTTATTAAGATACTCAATGGTGGCTCAGTGCCTGTGGCTCAAGTGGCTAAGGCGCCAACCACATACACCTAAGGTGGCAGGTTCGAAACCAGCCTGGACCCACCAAAACAACAATGACGGCTGCAACCAAAAAATGGCTGGGCATTGTGGCGGGCGCCTATAGTCCCAGCTAGTTGGGAGGCAGAGGCAGGAGACTCACTTGAGCCCAGGTGTTGAGGTTGCTGTGAGCCGTGATACCACAGCACTCTACCCAGGGGGATAGCTTGAGTCTCTGTCTCAAAAAAAAAAAAGATACTCAATGGTATAATTATTCCCGTTTCCTGACAGCATCTGCATTAGTCAGGGTTGTCCAGAGAAACAGAACCAACAGAATATGCAGAGATACAGAAGAGGAGATTCATTATGGGAATTGCCGCACATGATTATGGGCCCTCAATGAATGAGATGGTGCCTCCCACACTGGTGAGGGGGGATCTTCTTTACTCACTCCACTGACTCAGATGCTAATCTCTTCCAGAAACACCCTCACAGACACACTAAAAATAACGTTTACCAGCTGTCTAGGTCTTAACTCCGTCAAACTGACACATAATTAACCATCACAGTAGCGTCCAATCTAGAGCTAATCCCTACTCCCTTAACCCCTCCCAAAAATCACCTAACACAAGCCAAACACAGAAATATATAGAAATACACCACTTCTAACGCCCTCTTATGAAGCCACAAGGTTCCCCATGGTATGCATTTTCCATCATTGTAAATAGAAATAAACACAACTTGTTTAACTATAGACGCGTTTTGGTGGTTCTTGAATGAAGACGTTGACAGAAGGCAGTATGGTGTGCTGGTTAAAGGCTGCTGTCAGTTGCTTTTCCAATCCATAGCTGTGTGAATTAAACTTTCTCAACCTCGGTGTCCTTACTCACAAACCAAGGACAACAAAAATACATTATTTACAAATTCGGATTGAGAATTAAATGAAATAACATAGGAGGAACCATTAGCTTATTTCAGTTATAAGAAATAGAGTGTGTAAAAAAAATGGCTTTAAAAATGTTAAAAATTGTTTAACGTATGTCTTACCTTACATCAGTTGTAAGTGGCCCACTGATGCCAAAGGAATCCAAGGGCTTCACAACTTTCCACTCTAGGTTTCCCCTCTGTCCTGCACACTGC